TGTTCTGTCCTGGGCCTCCTCCTGGCCATTAGGGGGCCAGGAACAAGTAGAGACGAGCACAATTAGAAATGAGCACGATTAGACATGAACGACTTGTACCCTCTTTTGTATCCCTTCGAATCATGGAGGTCAATATCCACACCAAGGACCGTAGTCGAAACGAGCGCGCGCGCGTGCATGCGGGACTTGTTATAGACAGTCGATTCGCCACCAGCATCGGCAAGCCCTTCGCCATTGACGAGTACATCCAGGAGTTGGATCACATCCACTCGCGAACCCGCATTATGCTATTTTGGAAGCTGCGCGCGCAGAATAGCATCAATGTAAAGGAGTAGAATCAAGATAGAAAGGACACGCGCTTCTCATTGATTGAGCAAGACAATCCCGACGGGTTTTCGGTGATTTGGAGACGCGCTTGTTCGTGTGGCCCGCATGGTATGATCACACATTTGGTTTTTGCATTGGACCTGAATCGTTCCACGGCGTAATATCTGTTGCGCGGGAAGTTGCTGTGGCCAGATCCGACTGCGCACCGATTGATATCATGCCGCGTGCATGATACAGCGAGGGCATTGGATAAGTAGCCAAGGGATAGGAACCCAGGGTCTGGAAGCCGGTGGAACACCAAACGAAATTTGGCCATGATAGCACCTCCGGCCTCGTCAGATGAGGAGTCCCCCAAGATTTGGAGCCTCCTTCACGAGCCCCCCCCGCATGTGTTTTTGGTCCAGGCTGCATGTTGGCACGCGCACACGCACTTCAGGAGGGGAAAAAACACACAGACACAATTAATCGTCGACCACCAGGAAAATATGCAAAAATATGGGAAGTGGGGGGGAAGACAAAAACCAAGAAAATATCGGATAATATGGGGAATACTTGCATTTGTGTGTATTACCTAACAGCGTTTGCTGATAGGTTTCTAGTAGGGTCAAAAGAGAGCATCATGACTCCTCAGGGGGGTCTGGGCGGGTGCCGGGGAGGAGAACCGGGAATCGTTTTTCGCCAACAGTCACACACTTCGTGCTCTTCAACCTCCCAGAACTCCATTCCTGGGACACATTCTGGAGAACCGGGAACAGAGCCGGGCTCGCTTTTTGCCAACAGTCACACACTTCGTGCTCTTCGACCTCCCAGAACTCCATTCCCGGGCTACATTTTGAGTGCCCGGAGCCAACTGTAGGCCACTTCGTGCTCTTCGAATCGCCAGAACTCCATTCCCGGGCCACATTTTGGATGCCCGGAGCCAACTGTAGGCCACTTCGTGCTCTTCGATTTCCCAGAACTCCATTCCCGGGCCACATTTTGGATGCCCGGAGCCAACTGTAGGCCACTTCGTGCTCTTCAAGTTCCCAGAACTCCATTCCTGGGCATGATTTTGAATGCCCGGAGCCAACTGTAGGCCACTTCGTGTTCTTCTAGTTCCCAGAACTCCATTCCTGGGCCACATTTTGAATGCTGAGGCAGGCTGATGCTGCGGCCGAGGCAGGCTGAGGCTGAGGCAGGCTGAGGCTGAGGCCGAGGCTGAAGGCAGACTGAGGCTGAGGCTGAAGCAGACTGAGGCTGAGGCTGAGGCAGGCTGAGGCTGAGGCTGAAGCAGGCTGATGCTGAGGCAGGCTGAGGCTGAGGCTGAGGCTGAGGCAGGCTGAGGCTGAGGCAGGCTGAGGCTGAGGCTGAGGCAGGCTGAGGCTGAGGCTGTGACTGCGACTGCCGTTGCCGCTGCGACTGACATCGCGAATGCGACTACGACTGCGAGAACAGCAGAATTCTACAACTGGATTTTCATCTGAATCTTAAGGGGAATGCTTTCAGATATGCTTCTACATATCGCTGTTAGGTTGCTTTGCCGGGATAATTTATTTTTGTGTGTCCTGGGGGCCCCTTCAGCACTCTTTGGCGGTGGCGGCCGGGCGCGCGGCGACGAGGTGGAGTAAGGAGCAGAAGCATGGCGCGTGGCCGCGGCTGGGCCCTCAAGCATCGCTTAGGATTCGAAGCACACACATCAGGAGAGAAAGACAAATATGCGAAAATATGGGAATTGGGCGGGAAGACAAAAACCCAGAAAATATTGAAAAATATGGGGCATCTTTTTATTTGTGTGTATTTATTTGTGTGTCCCAGGGCCCCTTCACTACCGACATCAACCATCAGGGCGTGGATGGCGAGGGCGAGAGGGAGAGAAGCGCCCCTGTCGAGGATGGGCGCCCCCCCCCCTCGCATAGCCCAGGCTGGGCCCCGAATTGTAAGCCCATTCGGGAGCCCCACGAAGCCTGGGATAGGGGCCGAATCATCATATCCCCGGTGAAGACGGCCCCGTGGCCGTCCGACCCGGCCCGAAGCTGCTCGACGGGCCTTCGAGCTGGTCCTCCACGTGCCGCTGGAGAGCCCAACCTCGAGCCTCGAGCCCCAGGGGATCCGACCGAGGGCCAGGCCCGAACGGCCACACACACACACACACACTTTTTGGTCTGCGGATCGGGAGCGGGCCCCTTCCGGTCAAGAGCTAGACGGGACGCGGGTAGCCCTAATTGGGGAGACAGGGCGCGGGCGGGCGGGGCCTGGCGACACACACTCACACACACAGTTGGCAGTGTCCCGTGCGCATGCGGCCCGGCCGGGGGCAAGCCTCGCTCCCGATGCAGCGAGGAGATCGGCGGCGCGCCCCTCCCTGAGGCGGGAAGGCCGCCCGGGCCGGCCCCCTTTCTCGGAAGTCTGCGGCGGCCCTCCGGTGTCTGGAACGGTTTCTTGTGCCTCCTCCGAAACCATCAGGAGGGGAAACAAAAAAAAAACATACACGATTAATCGTCGACTCCCAGGAAAATATGTGAAAATATGGGAATTGGGCGGGAAGGCAAAATCCTAGGAAATATGGAAAATATGGGGAATCAGTTTATTTGTGTGTATTTATTTGTGTGTCCTTGTGCCTCCCCCGGAACCAGGAGGCTTCGAGGAACGGCCTTCAAGGAGGCAGAGTGTTTCCGAGAAGACCGCCCCGCCTTCTGGGGCCCTCTAACAAGCCGCATGTCCTTCTCGGCCCAGAACCAATAACCAGGAACCCTAGAACCCGGAAACGGGAACCCGGGAATCCAGGCGGCCACCAAAATCGGCGGGAAATTTTCGCCTAATCTTTCAATTTCTGCTAGGACCCTTCGGTGCAAGCACTGATTGGGGGGAAAAGGAACCAAAAATACACTTGAGAAAATCCCAATCAGTGGATGATTTGGAAATTAACTAAAACTATGGATATTGTGATCGATTGTGAGATCGATTGTGAGATCGATTGACGAATCGATAGTGAGGACCAGTGTAAGGTCGATCGTGAGACCGAGAGTGAAATCGATTCATTGAGATCGATAGTGAGATCGATCGCGAGATCGTTCATGCGATCTCTAGTGAGATCGCTTGTGAGATCGATTGTGAGATCGATTGTGAGATCGATAGAGAAGTGGGTAATGAGATCGATGGTGAGACCGATCGATAAGAAGATCGACCAGGAACCCGGGAACCCCGGAACCTCGCCGCCCTCCGAAATCGGCCCGGAACCTGGAACCGGGAACCCGGGAACCCAGAACAGGGAACCCGGGAACCCAGCGTGCGACTGAAATCGGCGGGACACTTTCGCCAAAGCCTTCGACTTCCGCGAGGACCCCTTCAGTGCAAAAGCACTGATTGGGGGAAAAAAGGACACAATGAATCATGGACTCCTCCGAAAATGTGAAAGACGTGGGAAGGGGCGGGGGGGGGGAAGACGGCAACCCAGCAACTAAGGGAAAGTAGAGGGAGTCCTATCGGATTCGTGTCTCCATATTTGTGCGTCCCAGGGCCCCTTTGGAAGCGCAGGGGCAGGGGGCAGCCCTGGGGGGGGGGGGGGGAGCATTGGGTTCAGCGGCGGATGCCTCGACCCCCCACCGCCCACTGATCGCCAAGAGGGGCCCGAGGGCCCCCACGCCGCCCAGGAGCGTGCGGCCTCGCTCTCTCCGGGGGCCCGTCGCCGCTCCATCGGCGATGCCTCGCCGATTCCAGGCAGACGACCCCCCCCTCTCGTCCGACGCGACGAGGGCGAGGATCAGGGGTCAACGATAGGGGGTAGAAGTAGGCTCAACGACGGTTCCTCAGATGTGCCTCGCGCGCGGGTTTTCAGGAAGCCCTCCTGAAACCTTCTGGAGGAAGGTTTTGGAAGGTTTGTAGGAGGAGAGCCTCCTGAAACCTCCCTGAGGGGAAGATTTCTGGAAGGTTTTGAGGAGGAATCCTCCGAAAACCTTTCGAAAACGCCTTCATCGCCGATAGGGGCCCGAACGCCCCCACCCCGCCCAGGAGCGAGCGGGTTCGCTACAGTGGGGGCGCGCATCAAAAAATCATACGCTTTTCGTCAGGGTATCCTGGGTTTCTGCGCTCCGAGGGCTGCGCGGCGACTTCCCGCAGCCGTTGAAGAAGCTACTGCGTTCAGGGTGCTCCCGGGTTTCTCCTCGGATGTGCCTCGCGCGCGGGTTTTCAGGGTTGGATCTCTGGCGAGGGTTTCTTGCGGCCGCGCCCGCACTGCATCCCCGGCCCATCGCCGATCTGTCGGCGATGGATCGTCGAGTCCAGCTCGACGGTTCCCCCCATCAGTGCCCCTCGGAGGGGCCCGCCTCCCCGGGCCCCGGACGGCCGAGTACACAGTTCAAGACACTGCCCGGTGTGTGCGACGCGTTTCGGGATTTGTTAGCCCCCTCCGTCAGGCACGGGCCCAAACAGTTGCCGCGCGGCGTACGCACACCGTACGCACGCGCATGAAGGGGCAGCTTGCGAATGCGAGTGGTGGCGCAGTTGGGAACCCATGAGCAAATGTGTTGACTACGACGTATGCGCCGAGCCTTTTACCCTGTGTGCCCATGGCGGCATCGCCGCCCGATACCTCCAGAGGCCTCTGCACGACCTCCAGGCAAGCCTGCCTGTGCGCGGCAAGATGCCTGCCCTCCAGCGTGCGGGCCCTGGCCTGGCAGCCCCCCCCGACGGCCGAGGCCATGACGCCCGAGGAGCGCGCGAACCCCGACCTCTTCGTGCGCGACTGCGAGCGGGCGCGCGCTCGCCCCCCCGCGGGGCCCTGTCCTCGCGCGCGTGGCCCGCCGGCAGGGGCCGCGGCCAGGGCCAGGGAGGAGCTCGGAGGCTGCACAAAGCACGCGCTGCAGGTAAGAAAACTACAACCCCTGACGGGGTACGATCGAAGACGACGAGGGCGGGCAGCGAGGGTTTGAGGTAGACGGGTTGAATGGCACGCGAGCAGGTACGAGCGAACAGACTTAAAACGTTGAGTGTTGCTCTTCTTCTCATCATTAGCATCATTACTGTCGTTATTGTTGTTTTTTGTTGCTGCTTGTTGTTTGTTGTTTGTTGTTTGTTGTCGTCGTCCCGCCCGCGATCCAGCCCGCGACCCACCCGCCAGCCGTGAGCCAGCCGCGAGCCACCCGCGAGCCCCCCGCGACCCACCCCGCGACCCACCCGCAAGCCACCCGCGACCCACCCGCGACCCACCCCGCGACCCACCCCGCGACCCGCCCGCGACCCGCCCGCGACCCACCCGCGACCCACCTGCGACCCATCCGCGACCCGCCCGCGACCCACCTGCGACCCATCCTCGACCCGCCCCGCGACTCATCCGCGACCCCGCGACCCACCCGCGACCCACCCGCAACCCACCCGCGACCCACCCCGCGACCCACTTGCGATTCGCCCGCGATCCACCCACGACCCACCCCGCGCCCGCCCCCATCACTCTTATCCGCAACTGCGGGGTGCTACATATGACATATCACTCAACTGCGGGGTGCTACATATCACTCAGTTTCGCTCCCATGGAGGCGAGTCCGGCCTTGCCATTCGGCTTTGCATGAAGAGTTTTGGAGAGGGGTACCGTCCATCGACAACATGTTGCACCTCTTTTGCCGCGCATCGGCATATATATATATATATATATATATATATATATATATTGCATTGGTCCTCCCCCCCCTCCCCCTGATCTTGATATCGGGCGTATGGCGAAGAGCGGCTCTTCAAGAGCCTCGGCCCTTCCCACAGGCTCCCCACAGAATGTTGCACCACCGAGCTGTTTCGGTTCGCCCGTCTCGGACCCCAAATTAAGATCGGGGGACGGTGGGGAGTGGAAAACGATCGCCAGGTAGAGAAAAACGATGAGCGCTGCTATCCGCGCAACGTAGTGCACCATTGCGTAGACGTGCCGTATCTAGCGGCTGCGCGCGCCACGCGGGGTGTTCGAGCCAAGTAGGGGGAGAAGGGGGGAGAGAAAGAGAGAGAGAGAGAGGGAGACCAACAAAAAAAGGTTAACAACACATCAGTCCAGCAAGGCGGATCCTTGCTTTCATCCTCATCCTTGTCTCCATCCTCACCGTCATGCTTGTGCCCGTCCGCATCCTTGCCTTCATCATCGCCTCCGTCCCCATCATGATGATGACCACCATGATCATCCTCATCAGCATCATCATCGTCATCATCATCGTCATCATCGTCAACATCCTCATCATCATCACCATCACCATCACCATCATCACCGCCAGCAGCAGCAGCATCTGTATCAGCATGGTCATCATCATCACCATCATCATCAGCAGCAGCATAACCACCATCATCATCACAACCATCATCATCATCAACTCATCATCATCACCATCATCAGCCTTATCATCATAATGATCAAGCTGATCCTCATCATCATGAACTTTCGCATAATAATCATGATCAGGCTGATCATCACCACCAGTCACCCGCATCATCATCATCAACATCATCTGCATCATCAACATCATTGACATCAACATCATCATCATTATCAGCAGCATCATCAGCAGCATCAGCATTAGCATCAGCATCAGCATCATCATCATCGTCAGCATCAGCATCAGCATCATCACAATCACCATATGTAGCCATTTTGGCTCACGCTTTTTCAGCCCCCAGGCCCAGGCCCACGGACCCGCAGGCACAGTCCAGATGCGCTATGCTCTTCCCGCTCGTCGCCGTTTTGGCGCTGCTGGTTGCCTCAACGGGCCTGGAACACACGCTGGACTTCGACGTGCCGCGCTCAGGGCCTCGGTGCATTCGAGTCGATGTTGGGGACACAGTCAAGTTCGAGTGGGAGGAGTACCATAATCTGTACAGCATCGCCGCGGAGACGCAGTACACCAATTGCGATTTCACTGGCGCCACCTTACTGAACGGACACGCGGGAGGGTGGCCGAACGTAGGAGTGATCGCGGGGCCGTTCTCGAGCGCCGGGGACAGGTTCTACGCCTGCTCGAAGATCTGCAGCTGGTTCGGCCACAAGGTGCGCGTCTGCGTGGGCACTGCATGCGGCTGCGCAGAGGGACAGGTCTACGTGGGCCAGACGGCCCCGACCGCCGCCCCGATCGCTACCCCGACGCCCGACGCCACGGCTGCCCCGACCACCGCCCCTGCCGCGGCGCCCACGGCCGCCCCGACGCCGTCCGCGCTGGCCACCCCGGCAGCCGCTGCGCCGACGGCGGCACCAGCAGCTGCGCCGGGCGCGCCCCCGGCGGAGCCGACGCCGGCTCCGACGGCTGCCGCGGCGGCCGAAGAGGTCCAGCCTGGCAGGGACAGCAGCAGCTCAGGTGCTCCAGGCCTCCCAGATGGGGTCCGAGCAGATGGGGTTGGAGGATCGCGCCGCATCGCCGATGCACCGACGATGGGGCTCGATGTGGAGACCACGCCGACGTCGCCGATGCATCGCCGATACACCGGCGATGCATTGGCGATGCGGCGCGATCCGTCGACCCCATCTACTCGGACCCCATCTAGGAGGCTTCTAGGTGCAGAGTCGAAGTTCACTGCGGCTCTGCTCATCGTCGCGTTGCGCGGTGTGTGGTTGGCTACTTGCTTCGACAGGTGACTGGCCTTATCCAGCTTGCCCCATGCACTGCGCTGCCGACTGCACGTGGGATGCGATCTGCATCCACTGGCCACCACGCATGTCGACCTGGGCGATGCGTTCGCGCCGCTGGCTACCAGTTTACCATTGGGATTACAGCGCTGGCATTTTTTCAGCAGCAGCGGCCTACAGCTGCGTCTTTCTGCAGGAGTCGCTTGTACGTCTGTTCCTGCACTGCATAGTCGACAGCGACAGGTCCGATCATGACAGTTAGGGTCGCCATGCCCCCCCGTCATTGTCCTCGCACCTGACTCGCATGGCGCTCTGAGGTCCGCCGGTATCTCTGTGTTTCCCCAGCCCGCCCTCCCCTCGGTAGCGCGCGCAAGGGGGTGGGGCGAGGGGGCCGGCCTTTAAAGAAGGCGGGGGGGCGTCCTAAGGAGGCAGGGGGCTTCTTTAGAAGGCAGGGGGCTTCTTAGATGCCCTACCGGTTTTTCAAAAGGCTTCTCAGGAGCCTCTTGGCCCTTCCACGAAGGTCTTTGCCTTCCAAGAAGCCCCCTGGCTTTTCAGAAGGCCGCCCCCCTCGCGCTACCTCCCTTGTGCGCGCCCCCCTCCACCCCACTCCTGCGTCGTCAGTGGCGCAGTACCCCCTCGGGTCCCAGCAGGCGGGGAGGCCTGCTTGTGAGGCCCCAGGTTGCCCTTGCGCCTGCGACCCGGGGGCAGATCGAACATGGTTCAAGAGTTCGGGGGGGCAAGGCAGTCCTGTGCCATGTAAAAGCACGTGTGTTGCATAGATACAGTGCAGGCAGTCTACCATGACAGGCGCACGTAGTTCACAGAAAGCACAGCTAAGTGTGTATGTGCAGTTATCCAGTGTACACGCAGGTGCACATATCATGCACGCGACACGTGTATTGTGAAGGCCTTGCGGCCAGCGACGCCGACCCTGAAGACGGGACCTTTCCTGGGACCCCCGCTGGCGCCCCCCACCCCAAACCCGCCGGGACCCCGGGGGGCGGCATTCTGACTTGGGACCACCCTTCCCGCCACAGGCGGGACCTCCCCCGGGACCCTTGCTGACGACCCCCCGCCCAGAGGGCGGCATTCTGACCCTGGACCCCCCCTCCAGGACCCCCCTTGCAGGGGTAACCTGCAACCCCCCTTTTCGGGGGTGGACAGAACCCCCACCCTGACACGTCGATTAGTGAAGTGTCCGTTTTCGGTTCTCGAGAGGGCGCCGCGGCCGTCATTTTCCAGGCTTGCGCCCGCCAGGTTAGGGCCCGAAGTAGTTTTCACTAAACCACGTTTTGCTAAAGGGGGTTCTGTCCAGCCCCGACCCTTCCTTGTCCCTTCTGTCCACAGGGGGAACCAGTGAGGGAAGGGGGGGCCGCCGAAACTCCGGGGGGGTGGCGGCAGCCTGACCCGGGTCCCCCCCCGAGCCCCCCTACCCCTACCCGTACCCCCCCTTCTTCAGGGAGGGGAAAGAGGGGAGGAAATTGACTTGAATACGAGGTTTTTTTTCCTCGTTCGTTCCTCAATTTCCTTGGGATCGGCGACAACGATGATGATGATGATGATGATGATGATGATGATGATGATGATGATGATGATGATGACGATGAGGATGAGGATGAGGATGAGGATGAGAATGAGGATGATGATGAGGATGAGGATGAGGAGGAGGATGAGGATGAGGATGATGAGGATGAGGATGAGGATGAGCGTGAGCATGAGCATGAGCATGAGCATGAGCATGAGCATGAGCATGAGCATGAGGATGAGGATGAGGATGACGATGAGGATTTGGATGAGGATTTGGATGAGGATGATGATGATGACGATGATGATGATGACGACGAGGAAGAGGAGGAGGAGGAGGAGGACGACGACGACGGAGAGGAGGAGGAGGAGGAGGAGGAGGAGGACAATGAGGATGAGGATGCGGATGAGGAAGAGGAGGAGGGTGAGGATGAGGATGAGAATGAGGAAATGATGAGGATGATAATGATAATGATGGTGACGATGACCATGGGTGATGATGATGATGAGGACGATGATGATTATGATGAGTATGATGAGGATGGTGATAATGATGGTGATGGTGATGATGATGATGGTGTTGATGTTGATGATGATGACGATGATGATGACGATGATGCTGATGACGATTATGGTGAT